GATCACCATATCATTTTCAATTTTTTTCAATTCCATAAAATAAAACCGTCTCAAATTCTTGTGTTAGACAAAAATCATTTGTTAAAAAAAAAAGAGACAAAAATAATTCAACTCAAATTCTAGGTTGCATGGAAACTCTTACAAAGGTCCGTTTCCCGTTTCAGAAACGTTTCGGAAACAGAAAAGCGGGGAAACACGTTTCTTAAAATTCTTAATTTGCAAACGCGATGAAAAATTCATTTGCATCTTGGAAACGCGATGAAAACGCGATTTTTGATTTGAAAACAAATTATTTAAATACTTTGAAAATTAAGAATATGTTTGTTATTATTAAGAATTTTTTTAACCTAATTATAAAACACTCAAATTTTTTTCTTTTCTAAACATTTGACTTTAAATATTGTTTTTTAAAATCTTTTAGTTAAACTATTTAATCCTCTATATATTAATATATGAGACACTAGATAAAAATCGTATGTGTCATCCAAAGAGAATTTTAGGAAATTTTTAACGAAAGCTATAAAAACTTCTTAATGACATTATTGTGTAAATAATTAGACTAAAATTTTATCATATATAAAATATATAACTATTAAACAAATATGGAATCAAGGAATATGTGATAATTAATATGGAAGATTTTATTTAAAGAATATAAAATATATGTGAGAATATCTTTTTTTTCAATGACTATTAGATTTTTTTGATGAATATTCAAAAAAAATTTCATGATTTTTTTACCATATGGGAGAAATTAAAAATAACAAAGATATATCTCCACTATAGATAAATATATTTTATCTTACAAAATTTAATTTGCACGATACTTAGATAAAATGTACAGAATCTTTTAGAAATGCCAGTTTTCAAAAATATCATCATTTTTGAATTTTTCTTTAAAATTCCACTAATCCTCTATATATTAATTGAGTAGACAATTGGTCAAAAAAACATATGTATTATTCAATGAGATTTTTAAAGAATATGTCATTTAAATTAACTAATGAAAACATTTTAATTAAAAACTATATGCCATGGTGGAAATCTCTATATGTTTTTTATTAATTTTATAACATAAACCATTAATATATATTTAAAAAAATTAAGTTTAACTAAATGTAATATTTAGACTTACTATATCAACTTAAAAAAAATGATATATTAAAAAGTTTATTATTATTATATTTCTAACCATATTATTTATTTGTAGATGATAACTACACTTATAAATATTTTTACATTTTATTAATAGAAAACATATATTTTTTGTTTATTACGTCCGACAAATTTATATAAATCTAAAATTTATTTGATTTTTCGTATACTTCACAATTTTACACAAATAATAAATCTCAATTTGACACTTCAAATAAATTGAAATAAATAACATTTGCATTAGTTTTAATATTTTTATATAAAATTGATCAAAACATATGACATTGAAATATGTTTAGTAAAAAATTAATTTTATTACATTTATGCACAATACATATCACTTTGTGCGTTTAGAAATATTAGAATACACGTCTAAATATTAAGATTGTTTAGAAAAATATTTAAATATTTAATCTCACGCTTGGCGTGGATCAAAATCTAGTATTTATGTACTGGACTTGTGTTGTTTCAATTGTTTTTTTTTAATATGGTTTTAACTTTTGATATTTTTTGTTT